CTGCAGCAAGGCCTGATCGGGCATCGGACGAGGGTGGCCCAGTGACGTGGCGCGCGCAAACAGGCCGGGAATTGGAGCGAGGACGCGAGGGGAGCAGGCAAACGTGTCCCGCATGTACACGTAAACACCAGCTCGCCGCACGCTTGCAACGTTAGGTAACGCCCGGACAAGAGAGCATGCGGCGACGAAGCTGGTGCGATTGGCGCGTGCAGTGTCTGAGAATCCCCGCACTAGAGCATGCGGTGACAGGCGGTGCGGTGTACGCGCACATCACTCGGAGACGTTCGGACAGCACGCAGCGCCGAATTTGAGCTTGGATGGCCGGGCTGGCTGCAGCAGCCTCACGGCTGAACAGTCAGATGGACCGCGCCGCAGATCTGGCCCTCGTCTGCGCTGGCCCACGCGCCGACGGTCGAACAGGCTCGGGTTCGGCCCTTCCGGTGCCGGCAGTGGGACTGACATCACCCGCAGGAAGCAGCGCGCGCAGCTCTCCTGCCGAAGAGGTCGGCCGGAAGCGGATTGGTCTGGATAGCGGCTGGGACCGTCGCGTGTTGACCATGGGCGCTTGGCTGTTCTCCGACGAGGACCTCAGTGACCGAGAATTAGGCACATCGCTGGGAGACGAGTATTCTGTGCACAGCTGCAGTCACGGCGTTCGATCCTGGTGCGGTCAGGTTTGCATCATGTCTCAGCGCGTTGAACGTCATGATGATAAATATTTCCTTTCCTGTTCACGAACACCATGGAAAAACCGTGGAAAAATGAACACAAGCATTGTATCTATAGATGATGACTACCTGCCGCGCTGCAGACCATTTCGAGCCCTTGTCCGCTGAAGACACTCCAGCACGCGCTTTTAAATTGCAGTAGGCTGTGTTGCGACACCCGTTAGGCCTGGGCATGCAATTCTCGGGAGGAAGTTCGTGGTGCCTTTAGGCCCCTTCGGCGGTTGTTGTTGAGCATAAGAATACTTTAGGAACCTAAAAGCGCCTAGACATACAACCAACTTCTCTAAAATTACACAAAACAGGCCAAAACCCGATGACGTATTGGATGCTGGACATGGCTTGCGTAGTCAACCATTTTTAGCTGTCCTTCCGATGATCATAAGCAACGCTACAAATGCAAATGCTTTGATGCCGTAGTTTTCAATCTTCAGCCCATGTTGTGGGCGTCACAGCTTTTAAGGTAGCTCATACCGGACCAGAGATGTCAGATTCCAACTGGGTCATCGTGTCGTGAGCCGTGACCCATTCATTGTGCACGCCGCGAAATGCCGTACCGGTGCTGCCGGCCTGTGCGATTGCAAATGTCGTATTTTGAGCGAGCCAAAGGCGGCTGACGTGGCTATATATGGCAAGCCGTAGTGCAACTCCCTGAAATATCGACTTATCGGGCCCATCGGGCCTGGAAGGCATCAAGGATGCCGTGACCGGTTTGGGCCAGGTGGCTTGCATGGAGACAATCATATTCGGGAACATTCCGACAACTGCGAAACGTTATATCCAACACTTTGTTGCTAGGACTTGTCTCAATACCGTTCATGCGAAAATTTCCCTTTACTTCTTTTTGCACTGTTTCAGTATTTTTTTAGCTCACGGCGATGATATTTTATCACTCGATAAACAGGGAGTGTCTGTTGCAGTGAAAATGGGCTTTTTGGGGCAATTTTGATTACGTAAGCATGTGCGTGCGTGATGTGTGCATGTACTACGAAAAGCGCTCGGACACGTTCGTCTTTACATAAATGATCTTCCGATCTCTGCGTAAGCTGTCTCAGCACTTGCAACCGGGGCAAGTTACATCACTAACCGGCTGAGTCACTCGACCACTCCTACCCCGCCGCTCGGACACAGTGCACGTGCAGGATCGGACTGTCCTCGACACGGCCGCCGCGTTGCCGGCCGTGACATCAGCTGTTGCCACGGCCGCCGCCTGGTGCGCTGCCCGACATGGAACGAGGCGGACTCCGAGGACCGCAGCCCGCGGCTCCGCCCCGTGGCGCGCGGCGCGGTCGTGGACGGCGGGCGGCGCGCGTCGGACGGCGCCCGCCGAAGAGCCGCCCTCCTCCTCCCGCCTCTCGCGGCGCGGCAGGTGGCGCAACACGACCGACAAACGAGACGCGCTTTCCCGGGCGGCGGGTCAGCCGCCGACCCAGAAGGTCGCGTGTCTCGCCCGGACCGCGGCTGGCCGGCCTGCGAGCAGATAATCGCGCCCTCTCGCGCTTATTAGGATGGCCCGCCACGATCGTGGCGCACTTTCACCCGGCGACGCGCGAACGGCCCGCGCCGGAGCGGCGCGCGCAGCGCCACCGGCCGGACCAGAAGACGACGGTGCCGGCGCCGTCCGGTGCCAGCGGAGTGCTTTCTCGGCTATCCTTTCGCCAACATGGCAGCTGTTGCAGATGTGATGATGAAATAGTGAGGCCGTGTTAATTTAGCCCTCGACCTGATCGAGGGTGGATTGGTCAGGCGCAAGTTGGAGGCCGTTGAATCGTCGGGGACTTAGACGCGATTGCCAACGGCCGCAATGTGAAAATGCACAATAACATTAAAGCAGGGTACCGCTTTATCTCTGCTTTGGATGAGACACTTGCGTAGTCGGATGCCTGATAAAATTCTGCTCCATTGACGGTCCGCCGCTGCCTAATTCTTGACAATCCATCTCCGACCGCGATGGATGGCTGTTTAAGTCGCCCGGGACATGCTATGATGGACTCGAAATGAGTGGTTAGATCCATTGTGCATTGTCCTCAGGTTTTCTACGTCGGGGAGCGATGAAAAATGGATGAACTGGTTAACCACCTAATGAACATTTGGCGGAATACAATATCCGCCTACTTGACCAATCGAACTAAGATACATGACTTTGGTAATTGAAGACCATGATCGGAGCAATCAGCGCGAAAACCAGCATAAAGCCAGACGTTCCACTTACGCGGTAGCGTGTGAGAGATCTTTGATGTATTTATTGGAAGGTTCGTGGGACAGAAGAAACAATATAGTACTATCTGTTACTGATATCCGCCGGTGAAGATCAACGGTTCTACACCTGCGGAAGTGTTACATTTTGTTTGCACCGGTGGATTCCTCGAGGCCGGGAGCGATGGCTTATTCTTAACTGATTTAGTCCCCATTTAACCTGACATTGTGGACCACTGCTATTGGACTGTGAATTGTTTTGTCGACAGGATACCGAGCCCTGTGGTACCAGCTTGTGCAGCACGCCAAGATATCCTTTCCCGTCCTTCTTCAGGAAGAGCACAGCCTGTACCCCTAGAATTTGAATCAATGCGTAATCATTACCGCGCTGATTTTAGAGAAACTCCGCTCAGTTTGTTTTTTTTTATTCCCCTCGTGCATGTGCAAAGTCGTAAGAATAAACGCCATTACCCTTTGCACCTGCCTGGATAATAGCGGGTCATTTGAGCGGTCTATGCTGCGGTGCCCTTCGTTACATATCGTGCTTACGCTTCCAGCCCAAGCCGCGAACACATTGGTATGCTGGCAGCGGTCTGATAAAAAACCGTAACGTCCTGGCCAGCTTTCCCCGCATTGGATAACATGCACAACGAAAGCGGTCCTCAGGAGCGGGCCCAGAGGGAGGTCAACGGGGCAATGGCCTCTCCCAAGGCAGTGAAATTTGCCAGATTTGTGCGTGTTTTAAGCGCTAAAGACCCCAAATTTGGAACTTGGTCACCAAATAAACTATGTTCGCTCTCAAGGTGCCGTGCGGGATCCATTCTGGGTCACCCTAGATAGTTGTTTCCAAAGACAAAGACTTCGAGTCCGTTTTTAGAGAACAGAACGTCTGGCCGCCTTTCTCAGTCGTCTCCAAATAAGGACTTTTACCATGTAGGCAGAGGCCGTGATGCGGTGACGCCAGCAGGGCCGCGGAGGGTCGGCGATTCCGAGACGGCGCGGCGTCTGGCCGCCAGACAGCCAGACACCGCCGCCAGACAGCCGGACAGTCCGGAGACCGAGACGACTGTCACAACGGTCGGCGCAGACAGTGAGAACGCTGTGGGGCGGCGGTCGGCCCAGACAGAGCAGCAGAACAGTTCGCCGGGCGCTGCGCTGGCAGACTGGGACCGACCGCGCCCCGGTCTGGCCCAGACAGCGGCACGGGACGCGCGTGATCCGCGTATCAGGCCGGCTGCTCTTACCATCCTGCGATCCGGAAACCAGGCCCAGTCCCTAACGCGCGATACCGTTATCAATACCGGGTAGGCTGGACTCGTAAATCGATCCCGCCTGCTGCCGATATCTACGGTAGCCCGGCGTTGAGCGACGCCGGCCGCCCCTCTCGCGCCAGCCTGCTCCACGGGCGCCGTGGAGGAGCTGAGGCAGCGTTCGTGCGGCCGCAGGGCGATGACGTCACACGCCGGCCGGACGTCTCGCGGCCACAATAGCCGCCGCCGGCGCCCGGGGCCCTCAGCAGCCAGAGGTCGTACAGAGGTCACCGGCGCCGAGCCGGCGGGGTCACGGAGAAGGGTGGGGCAGCGGCGGGTGCAGGAGGCGGAGTCATGTCTGCATCCTCCGGGCGGGAGGGCGAGGCGTAGGCAGTGAGCGTGCGGTACGATGGCGTCGCTCGCGAAACATTCCGAGACCGGCCAAAGAGGCCTCCGAGAAGCCATGCTGCTAGTGCATCAGCCGTCGCCAGGCTTGGTATGCAGCTGCAGTTTACGACTCACCGTCACACAAACAATCTGCTGAGCCGCCACCAGCGGCACGGCATCTGTCACTGTTCCGCTCCCTCGACTTTCACCCGACACGCCCAGACATATACGCGAATCAGTTCAGAACGTGGGCGGCATTTAACACCGCAAACACGGCACGCAGCATCCCCTTACGCCCGCAGAAGCACGCCATGGTTGTTGAAACTATCAAAGCTCCACAGACGCTGAATCTGTGGCCCATCCCTCACCTTTGCCAATATGCACGAATCACTGATGGGGTTGGGGCGTTCTCTGCGAGTTCTGACACCGCGTCCGTCAACAGATCATGAGCAAGTACAGCCCGGAGCTGGCCAGCCAAGTGCTCGCGTGGATCGCGGACATCACCGGCGAGAACATCAACACCAGCGGTGACAACACCAACTTCTGGGAGACACTCAAGGATGGCACCCTGCTCTGCAAGTGAGTTCCTTCAGGGAGCACTTCGGACCACTGACGCTGGGGAACGCATCACGAATGTTTCCTGAATGCCTGTGATTTTTCTTTGAAGAGAACTCGACCTCCCATGAGAAACTAATGCTTGCTGAATACCTATGATTTTCTGTATGAAAAAGGCTGGACCTCCCATGAGGTAAATAAGAAAAATTGCAAATGCATACACTGTTTATCATCTTCCTGCTTGGGGCTGGGCTTCCCTTCTCTTTGGATTCGCCAGCGTATTCGATGAAGCGTCGATTGATCCCGTCTGTTGGCCTGCCGAATATGCCAAGCTCTCCAAGGTTTATCGGGCCGACACTATGTCCTCTTATCAAGTGCGAAAACAGCAGGAGGTCGCGTGGCGGTCAAATAAACCGTAGCGCACGGGGCCGATAGAGGGGCCGGCACGGGCAGCTGTCCTGGCGACTCCCCCCGGTCGAGTGGGCGCGCCACGAGAGGGCGCTGGCTCCGCCGACACGGCGCCGCCCGGCGCAGCCGCGCGCGGGCCGGCGCCTCGCAGTCGACGTAGCTGGCGGGCTGCGGTCGGTGACTGCATAAACAGAGGGCGGGCCGCGCCCTGTCACCGCGCCGCGCGCCGGCCCGTCGGCGCCGGTGACGAATCAGCGGCGCCCGCAGGCCGAGACCTCTCGCCGCGGGCCGGCGCGGCGGAGTTGGCCGGGCTGCGGCCGTCGCGGCCGATGATAACCGCCCAGTCGACTCGGGTGCTCACAGCGTGAAGGCCATCGCCCCGAGTCGGACTGTGGCTCCGGGACTCGGCGTCGCTGACCGTTCGAGGTCCGACTGACGCGCGCGGATCAGCCCATCAGCCACAGTGACGGTGCTGGCTTAGTCAGCGCTAGATCGGACCTGGCGCTAGGGCGGTGTGCTCCTGCATCCGAGGGCCTCTGTATCACCGAGAAGGCCATCGTACAACACACACGGACCGCTCTAAGGCACGATGTCATGCGATGAAGTTATGATCACGCGTGATGCACTTAACGCGGAATGCCTCATTTTATGTGAACAATTCGCCAGCATCAATGATATTTGTGACCAAGTGATTTCGGGCAGAGTCTTTGGCATATCACAGCGTACCATGCTAACCGCACAAAGGCTTTTATAGGTTCGTAAATAAGCGACAATCACCAAGCTCTTGTAAATGTGCTCAGTCGTGACCGGAAAGGGATGCTTTCCCCGGCAACATTTTTGTGGAGTTATGATAACCGGCTTCTTAGATGCCAACTTGCAAAGGCCTCACGTTCGAGCCGAGTCGTGCAATCGACTCCGGAAGCAGCCCATGATGCAATACCCCGTGGCAGGAGTAACATTGGGATAACGTCCTGCATTGTACTTACGTGTCGCGCGGTTTGTCAGCCTGTCAGCCCCTCAAACTCGACATTCATCACCCGTTGCGGTCATTTCGGTGGCTGACGTGCTCCTGTGGGATTCCCTTCACTACCACCAAACGGATGCCAATATTTGATCGAAGTATGGGCGGTGTGTAATTTGTCGTGCACCTGAGCTGCAGCGTGAACAACCATAGAGGACGCCATCTGAGTCGGCCGCCCCGTCCTGACTTGATGCTCCGCCTTCACAGTTTGGTCAACGAGATGAAGCCTGGCAGCGTCAAAAAGATCCAGCAGAGCAAGATGGCCTTCAAGTGCATGGAGAACATCAACAACTTCCTGGCGGCCTGCCGGGCAATGGGCGTCACATCGGAGGAGCTGTTCCAGACGGTTGACCTGTGGGAGCAGCAGAACCTCCACATGGTGGTCATCTGCCTGGAGTCGCTCGGACGCAAGGTCAGTGACCCGACCGGCATCGGGCGCGCTCGGTGCGACGGCGTGGGCCGTTTCTCACGCTTCGCCAGCCCGGCGCAGTTCGAAGTCCGATAGATTGTAGGTTTGTCACTTTTTTATTATTAATATTCTCGGCGCAGAAAGATTCGCGTTAAGAACGTTGATGGTCACGATAGCTGAAAGACGTGCTCGTGTGTTCCTACCAAAGTATGTTTTTTTAAGTTGTGAAGAACGTTCCAATTAACTTTCCCACAACCAAGCGGTGGTAACTAACCAGGGTAGGACTGGGTGGATATCGGAGCATACGCAACGCCATTTTGGTCCTTATGGTGTTGCACGCCAAAACTGCAGCATGACCAAGGGAAAATAGTAAGACTGGTGCGTTCGTTCATTTCACAATCGGACTGAAGCTGCCCGTCCGCCTGACCGAATGACGACGTTCCCTTCGCAGGCGCCGAACTTCGGCAAGCCCGGTCTCGGACCCAAAGAGGCGGAGAAGAACGAGCGTCAATTCACCGACGAACAACTCAACGCCGGCAAAAACACCATCGGTCTGCAGATGGGCAGCAACAAGGGCGCCACCCAGTCTGGCATCAGCTTCGGCAACACCAGGCACATGTAGGCGACGCGCGCCGGCCTTCAACTCGCTGCTGTGTATTTATCATTCCCTGAAGCGCCCCGACGCCGAGGTGTATTTAATTCCGCGTGAGGTAGCACGAGAGGAGGCATCACGTGGACGTCCGATGGTTGAGAAATCGCATTTAAGGGGCTTGTTATCGAATCGGGTCGCAATTTTTGTCCTTGTAGAGCGCGTGTTCGGCGTCACAGTGTCCGACGCGTCTCCCGTCGCTCTACGGTGCAATGTCGAACGTGATGATGCGGTCACGACCAGGGACCACTTCTTCCTGAGACAGTCCTGTTCTTATTGTGCCTTCCCTTTGTGGTGTTAACCATAACGTTTTTTTTACAATAAACGTTTCAACTGTAGCAGTGGTGTCGGCTTGGTTCAGGTCACCGGAGGTGGTTGCATGGGTGGGGGGATTGTCAAAGGAAGAATAGGAGCATTACGCGGGTGATAGAAGATAACATCACCAAATGTGTTATTTTAAAGAGGGAGACAAGATGAGAAGTTGGGCATTCTAGACTAATGCGATCATCAGACACGAGCCGCACCAAACCCCATTCACGGGTATCGTAACGCGCGCCTCTAAAGCACATCGCATGAAACAATGCAAGGACCACGTATGTAGTTCAGTCGCGCAAGAGATCACGGCACTAGAAACATCTTTGGAAACACCGATGGAACCACTGGATGGGAGGAAGGGTGGCATATCCTGTCCAATATTCGCGGCGTTACGTTGCTCTCATAACTTTGCCCATAACACAAGCTGGTTCTCCACGTTTTCTCATTGCGAACGTCCTTTGCAAGTCAGGCTGTCCTCCCCAGGTCCTAGTTCGATCCCAAGCCCTAGTATGCCTCTCATCTCAGAGGCGTGGCTACGCCCACGCTTAACTGGAAGTACTGACTCGGTCAGTGAACATATGCGAATCTGATGTGTACTCAGTCAGCGGGTACCCTCGTGATGGGTCCTTTTGCTGTCGTTGAACCGCGGCATGAAGTTAGCCCGCTGCCGCTGCATACTGATAAGTGAGTACTGTGTGTACCCATTCCGTTTTGGGCAGATTAATCACGTCTGCGCGCGGCCTGCAGCTCCATGACAGCGGCTTTATGCAAAGACTACCAATCAGCGACCCGGATTTTTGTGGCGGCACTTGGGGACGCCGTCTGTCCTGGTGACGACGTTGTCACACGCCAAGCAGTTACACATCGGGTTGTACACTTCAGAAAAAGCTGTGTAGCAGTCCGGCTCAGTGTCATCATTGTATGAGACCGGGCGAGGCCATCAGTTCCAGCGAGCTCGAGCTCCCAGGGCTGGGATGAAGTCCCTGATTGGAAAGGTGACCAAACAATCAGTCCAACCTGGTTGGGTCAAGGTGGAACGGGTTTTTTAGTTCAGTCAGGAATGGGACTGAGTGAAACAGGATCACAACCGGACTTTATGTTCGGACTGTCAACGGGTAAATACGAACACAAACTTGAAGACAAACCACGTGATGATTTCATTGCACCTCATATGTAAACCATTTAGCTCATCACATTGGGGCAAATGAACCAAGGGTACATTACGGGCAGCAACACTTTTCGATCAAGCTGTACCATGAAACGCAATAAGCATGACACAACATGGCTTTTCGAATAATGTGTGCCATGAAACGCAATGACCATAACATAGCATAGCGCTCATATTTGTTTTCAACATGGGAAGGGGTGGCCGATGTTATCGGTTTCCGACCGCTTGCGAGATAGGAAGTGAAATGGGAAAGACAGCTTTACATGTGCAGCTTCATACTTCTTCAGCTTCTTACCATTTTGTGCGACACAGTTCATTGCTCATGACATTTCCGATGAGCTGGCAAAACGCCGGTTTCCAATGATCAGGGCTGATTCAATCCACTCACCTAGCACCAGTTGATGCAGGGTTTTGCCCAACTGGCTGAAAGCCAGGATACCACGAAAACCGGTCGAATCGGCTCGTTTATTCTAGCCCCAACCGAGACAGAGGACCTTTTGAATGGTCTTAACTCACATCCGTCCCAGGGAGCCTCGTTTCGCAGAAACGCGCCCTGCCAAGGTGGCCGAATGTAGGCCATGATGCTTTATTCACCGACAAGATTAAAGCCCCATATCAAGCGGGTGAGCTCACTGGGCGAGATACCGTACACAGGCAGAACCATCTGTGCAGACTTTAAACCAGATGTTTGAGCGCCCCCCCCCCCCCCCCCCACAAAAACTGTCGATGCTTGAGCCCCAGCCCCTGCGGCAGATAACAGCGAGGAACCTGTTGCGCGCCACAAGCTCATAATCCTTCTGACGAGGATCTGGCCCGTGTGGAGCAAGCTCACAAGAGAGCTGCCTAACGGGGATCTGGCCCGTGTGGAGCAATCTCACGAGAGAGCTGCCTGACGGAGATCTGGCCCGTGTGGAGCAAGCTCACGAGAGAGCTGCCTGACGGGGATCTGGCCCGTGTGGAGCAAGCTCACGAGAGAGCTGCCTAACGGCGATCTGGCCCGTGCGGAGCAGGCTCACGAGAGAGCTGCCTGACGGGATCTGGCCCGTGGGTAGCAAGCTCACGAGAGAGCTGCCTGACGGGAATCTGGCCCGTGGGTAGCAAGCTCACGAGTGTCGTCTGAAGGGGATCTGGCCCGTGGGTAGCAAGCTCACGAGAGAGCTGCCTGACGGGGATCTGGCCCGTGGGTAGCAAGCTCACGAGAGAGCTGCCTGACGGGGATCTGGCCCGTGGGTAGCAAGCTCACGAGAGAGCTGCCTGACGGCGATCTGACCCGCGTGGAGGATGATCACGAGAGAGCTGCCTGACGGGGATCTGGCCCGTGGGAAGCAAGCTCACGAGTGTCGTCTGAAGGGGATCTGGCCCACGTGGAGGATGATCACGAGAGAGCTGCCTGACGGGGATCTGACCCACGTGGAGGATGATCACGAGAGAGCTGCCTGACGGGGATCTGGCCCACGTGGAGGATGATCACGAGAGAGCTGCCTGACGGGGATCTGGCCCACGTGGAGGATGATCACGAGAGAGCTGCCTGACGGGGATCTGGCCCGTGGGAAGCAAGCTCACAAGTGTCGTCTGACGGGGATCTGGCCCACGTGGAGGATGATCACGAGAGAGCTGCCTGACGGCGATCTGACCCGCGTGGAGGATGATCACGAGGAGAGGCTGGCCTGACGGGGAGTCTGGCCCGTGGAATCAAGCTCACAAGTGTCTTCTTACGGGGATCTGCCCACTTGGAGGATGATCACGAAGAGAGCTGCCTGACGGGGATCTGGCCCACGTGGAGGATGCTCACGAGAGAGCTGCCTTACGGGGATCTGCCACGTGGAGGATTGATTCACGAGAGAGCTGCGAACGGCGATCTGACCCGTTGGAAGCAAGCTCACGAGTGGTCGTCTGAGGGATCTGGCCACGTGGAGGATGATCACGAGAGAGCTGCCTGACGGCGATCTGACCCGCGTGGACTGAACAGGCGGCTACCGCCAAAGGATCGCACTAACAGCGCCTGGGAACGCTCCCATTGTGGGCCTTAGATGCTTCAAGAGCTCTGACAGCAGCTTGTTATCCCACACGGGATGTCCCACTTTGTGATCGGAGAAGCCGGATATCAGCGCCACGAAAAAACAATGTACTCGCCGCGCAGTCAGTTTTTTTTTGTCCTCATCACCAACTCCAACATGTATCTCTGCCGAGTGTCAGGATCCACACCAGCTGTGTGAGAGCAGAGACGGTATCATGAGGCACACGACAATGGAAACATCAATGGCCGAGGCCTCATTTTAGCAAGCGACATCTCTACAGTTGATGTCTGGCCACCTCGTGTCAGATGGACCATAGGAGCATTGATCAAGACCCTCTGGTCATGTAGTGATCAGGACCGACATGCCCAATAAATGTGTCACCTTTGACGTCTCAACGCTGCCCGCCCGATGACACAGCCAATACGGATTAACTGGCTACCACTGTCCATGTCCCAGTCCTCTGGTTCGACAGCGGTCCCCCCCCCCTCCCCTCCCCTCCCGTCCCGCAGGTCCCGCCATCGCGTCGCCCCTGTCGATCCGTCGCCGACCCGCCCGGACCGCCGAAACACCGGTGGACACCGCACCACCAAATAAGCACATCTGGGACAGGAGATTTTCCACAGGCTTCAGCGCTGAGTCAGCCGCGGTGTCGATGCGGGTCACGCAAAGGCCGCACCAGGGGCGGATCCAGAACTGAGTCACAAGGGGCAAGATACGAGTGATGCGCCGCACCAGAGTCGGCTCTAAAAAAGGAGAGAATTGCGCTTTTCACCTTCATGGAGACGGGATCGCGCAGCGGACTAGAAGCCTCCAGCGTCCGGGAGGGGGAGGGGATAGGGAGGGGTGCGGGGATGGGGGAGGGGAGGGCACCGGTCAAGCGAGTGGTGAGTCAGCAGAGCACCGCCTGGTGTGGCCAGAGCTGGCGCCACACGCGGCCGTTGGAGAACCGAATACGCGCGCGGTCATGGGCGAGGCTTCAAGAGCCCTCTTGAGCGTAATCGGGTGTCGGGGATGACGTGATGGGTGCGTTGGGTAAATACGCATATTAGGGGTGCGGGGGAGAGACCTGGCTCAGAAATCTGAAAAAATAATTGCGGAAAGCAAGAGCTAACAGCAGGCAAGTTTCAGTTTAAGAAAGTGTTAAACGAACAAGACAAATAATTACTTTAGCGTTTAGATAGCCAATACTCCGCAAGTACTTCCGAAAACTATACCACCGAGGCCAGGTTTTCTGCTATCCAAGCCAGATGTTCTTTCCAAACCAAAGAAAAGTCACGCTTCCTGAAACCTTAACCCAATTTACACAAAACTATTGCCACGAACAAGCCGTGGATTCCGCAGTTGTTGTTACCACACGAACGCAGTTATCTACCTTACGTCCGTGCTCTTCCGCGACGCCAGCCTTCGGAGCGATGATGGCAAAGGTGACAGCCGAGTGGTCTCAATCACGAATATCCCTATACACTTTCATTGATGGTAGCATGACACTGATTTGATCCACACGATCGCCCCCGGAGCGCTTTTGAGGCGGAAAACCCGTTCGCAGTTTGCAGAACTAGCACTTCGAAAGCTGGCCGATAGATGTCGTAGCTTAGCGGGGCTCGGCCAGGGACCCAGTTGCAATATTGACTGCAGGAGCCGTACGCGATGATGATATTTAAAAAATGACCTTTGAGCAAAACGACGTCTCAGGAGTGTTTGAAAGTTGCAAGAGCTGGTGAATGTCCGTAGGCAATGGAAAAATATTTAGAAAAAATGATCCGTGTGCAACACGATGCCTCAGGAGCGTTTGAAAATGATCAATGATGCGAACACTTCCCTTGTTTTCTCCATGGAAAAAATCAAATGGAAAGTGCATTCCTTTTACGCATCTGCCTAATTTACCATCCCATTTCATGTAGTTATCAGAACCCTGGCTAGATTCTCATCAGTGAATTCAGGACGTTGCCTTCATTAAGGCTACCATTTCAACCGCATTGCAATGCAACTGAACAACACCGCCAAGACAGCACCACGGTGTCAGTGACTACTACTCTGCAACCTGACAGAATGACTCGGTCTTTCAACCGCTTGCAGGAGCTGACACCGATCAAGCCCAAAAATGCACAGAAAGGAAGAGTCTGCGCTGCCAAATCAGTAGTAATCATGCTCCATACGGTGGAAATAATTTCGAACATTGTAGCTTCAATAAAGTACGTAGGTTGCACAAATGCCCGCAAAAACAACCGCACACTCATATGTATATTTTGCTACATGCACACAATATGACCACCCATTTCGTGCAACGTAAACCACCGGTCGCTGGCGAGAAAAACACGCATCTAAATTCCTGTTTACAATGAGACACAACAGCGTACACACACTGTGGCAAACACTACCGCTGAAACGGATAAAAGTCGAGTTTGGTGTTGTATTTGAACTTTTTCCGGCGCTGCTCCTTTTGCTCAGCGGCTTGCACCATCTCCTGCACCTCCGCCCTGCACAGAGGAGAGACGTCATTTTCAGGGTCCACTGCGCCCGCTCACTCAGCAGACTTCAAACGCGCCAGTCACCGTGCGGCCCGGACTCACCTGCCACACTTCAGCACGTTAGCGTACCTTGGCTCTCACTTGATGTTTTGTGTGGGATGAATTGCCTACGCAGCATGGCGATGGACGAAATAGACGCTGCGGTCTTCGAATGATAGTAACGTGCTTACCGATAACGTGATTTTTCTGTTTTATTGTGTGGGTTTATTTGATGGCGCCCGTTAAAAGACACTGAAATTCTGCTACACGAAGTGTAGGCATTTTAGTCGCAGTTCGCGATGGCTCCAAAACCGCAACTCTGACCAGCGCCAAAACGCAGAATCAAAGCAATCGCCTTGTTCAAACGTTTGGCTCCTAGCGGTCGCATATAAATTTGAATATGACTTATTAGTGCAGCATAACCAACATGTTCTAGCACTCATAATTTTCAATTGGAGATGATGTTCCTGAAACATCTGAAATGTCCATTTATACAGAACATATTGCAACAGCCCTCCGATTCTTGTGAAAACAGCAAATCAGAGACAAGAAACTGATGGACGATCTCTTTTGGGAGAGCCGGATAATGACCATAAAATGCCATCATTACGGGTCCGAGTTACGAACACATTACCTGTACGGTGGAGGCTGTGTTTCCTCATGGAAGGTACACTGAAATGGTTTGGGATCCTCCACTCTGAAGACGCCATATCTGACGACATCTACGTCACGGCCGGCGAAGTCCATAATGTCGTACACCTTCACCGGAGGCAGGTCAAATTCAACACGAAAATAGCTGAAAACAGGCGATTGGCAACACTCAGGACGCGGCGCTTGCAGTCATTTGTCAGAAAATACAGGGTAGACCGTGATATGTCGATGACAAATGAGCCTGAGTTTGTTTCCGAAGGGCTTGCTCCACAAACAAAATGTCAGCTTCGGATCTTTCGCGTAACAACTTTATCAGCTATGGATCTTTCGCTCTTTCGCTCACCTTTGCCGTCCGGCAACTTATCACAGCGGAGTATCGGTGCGAGTTTTGCGTATGCCAATGGCAGTCGCGCTTTGCTTACCCAACCGACCAACAGTCGAGATGACCGCGCTAGCCGTCATCAGGCATACTGTAAATTCAAATATATAATAGATGAATTGCTATAGAATATGATGAATATATAATATTTCGACTTAAATGCTCAGGTCGAGCAGATGAACAAACGAATATTTTCGTCACAATGTTTAGCACCAGCGATTAAGGTATGGCACTTTGAGTTCACAGATAGTGTTTCACAGCTATTACTGATCCCTTTATCGTTGCTGTTTTATCAAAAGCATAATTGCTGCTAGTTGAACAATAGGTGATTCGATTTTTAAAAAAGACAGATCGGTTAAAACTGACAGTATACTTTCGAGTCACACATGCATTGAACAATGCTTTTGTCTCCACAGTATTCATGTGCCAACTTACAAATAAGACCATGTAAACGTTTTGTGAACGTGCCCGTGTCCAGCAAGTTGGTTGCCAAAACGCTTGCAGAATGTGACACTGCGCAGATGCGCGGTGAAAAGTTCCGAGACATAAGCTGAGCAAAACGTTATCAAGGAGTTTGGTCGAGGCGTAAAGCCTGCAACCTTGTAGGATTTGTAAGTTGTTACATGCATTTCCGAGGAACATTATGCATATAGATAAGAAATAAGAAAAGCCTTATTTCTAGTAGAAAACCAGGAGAGTGGGGAAATAGATGCGTTCAATCTCCCCATTCTCCTGGTTTTTCTACAAGGAGTAAAGCTTTTATTACTGTCTTATCTTGAACCATTCGGCTTAAGAATCTTCGAAAGCTGTTGTAGTGTATTTGAAATAGAAAATATCTGAGACGTCAGATTGGCTTTAAAAATGAAAACATACATTTTCATACATTTCAGCGAAGGTTCTTACCACGAAGCATCCGCGCGATCTGCTCCCCGATCATTTCGCCACGCAATCGTGACACACACGACATAGCTACAGGTCCTTACTGGTTATAACCGGACAACGAACTGCCCTCGCGTCAGACACGTTCTATCGGACCGCTCGACGCCGATCCCGTCCGCGTCAAGTGATTCGGAGTTTGCTTTGGAGCTGTTCTCCTGAGGTCACATGCCCCACCCGTGGCAGCCCGCAACCCGTTTGCTCCCGACCCCATAAGATTCTGAATGAATGCTCACCTGCCCACCCTCATAAGCCTGCGTGCCCTTGTCCCTAGCACCCACCTGCCATCAAGTGCCCCAGCCCCTGGCACTCACCTACCTGCAACGGTCCAAGTCCCTAGCACTCACCAGGCCTTCGATTGCTCAATTCCCTGGAGCTCACCTGCCCTCCGTGTGCCCGAGTCCCTGGCGCTCACCTGCCCTCAACGTACCCGAGTCCCTGGCGCTCAGCTGCCCTCCGTGTGCCCGAATCCCCGGCGCTCAGCTGCCCTCCGTGTGCCCGAGTCCCTGGCACTCACCTGCCCTCCAGGTGCCCAAGTCCCTGGCACTCACCTACCTCTCGTGTGCCCGAGTCCCTGGTGCTCACCTGTCCTCAACGTACCCGAGTCCCTGGCGCCCAGCTGCCCTCCGTGTGCCCGAGTCCCTGGCGCTCAGCTGCCCTCCGTGTGCCCGAGTTCCTGGCGCTCAGCTGCCCTCCGTGTGCCCGAATCCCCGGCGCTCACCTTCCCTCAGTGTGCCCGAGTCCCAGGCGCTTGCTTGCCCCCCGTGCGCCCATTCCCTGGCGCTCACCTGCCCTCCGCGTGTTTGAGTCCGTGCGCTCACCTGCCCTCCGTGTGTTTGAGTCCATGCGCTGTGAGCCGGCTGGGCAGCGCCCGGGTCCCGAGGTGCTCCACCTTGCGCACGTAGCCGCCCCGGTCCATGCACCAGGTCGGCCGTCCGCTTGACAGTCTGGATCAGCCCCGGCTGCGGCACCGAGGGGCGGCGGTCAGCCGGGCCCATCACCGACTGCCGCGTGACGCAGGTGGCTCGGCAGCGGGCATCCTCACAACATGGGAATGCACACGCAACATGGATGCGCAGCCGTGAGCTTTATCGAGCTTCCATATCGGCACCGACCTTTTGCATTTTCCGCAGAAGCAGCGATATCTCGTAGGTCGGCATATCCGATGTTGTTGAAACCGAATAAATCTGCGGGAGGAACGCTTGGTCAGCCATACTTATCACACTGATGTTAATGCAAAACCGCTGAGCTCCTTTGCAGGCCATGGAACTCAAGTAACAGAATTTGCACTTGTTTATCCAGATCTCGCTAGGTGCTGTGACTTGATTTTCAATCAAAAGCTACAAACATAGGTAATACATGCTTTTAAAATAAGCATGATGTTAGATAAAACTTGGCCACATTTTGGTGCATTTGCAAAATTTTAACATCAAAACTGAAATATGCAGCATCAATAGGGCTACCTCTGTGGAGTGGCACATGCAAGGTGACAATAGATGCCAACAGATCAACAGATCCTCGTGCAGATGGGGACCAATCTAAAGTGACTGAAGCTGCTACACTTTTGGGAGCACCTACAGTTTGGTCTTAATGCTGCATTGCAATATCACTTTTCTTGAGTCTGGTGGCCAGAGTTGCAATGATGTACAGGACTTGCATATCGATTTACATATCACATGGTCAGAAAATCAAATTACTTTGGACCTGGTTAGTGTTATTTGTAACTGCAACAAAATTGAGGCATTTGGAATGGTTTCCTTTTTGATAATTGCACACCTACTATGGAACATATAAATGTATGGGTGGAGATCAGTGGGGGTGAGTCAGCTTCATGTCTATGAAACTTTCACACCACAACCATTTTCAGGTTAGCTCACAACATTTGAATTTTGAGCCATCTTCAAAAATGGGTAACAATGGCTGCTTCTGGTCCATACCTCAGAAACCTGAGGCAATAATGGGTCATTATAATGAAAAGCTATTAGCCTATAAACAGCATGCTCTCACACCAGGCAATCATTTTTGTCTCTTAACCTCAGTCTTCCCAATTGCCGAGATCAAACATCAACCTTACAAAAATGGTTGGGTTTTGCTTTGCATACTGGAATGTATAATCTGGATGCAATATTGAAACCAAGTTTTATCATTGCTATTGCCTGCATTATCCCTCCACCAAAATGAGTTGCCTTTATGTAGCTCTGGTAGTCATGTCTGGTCAGCCAGCACCTGGTGGGTCTTGTCAAGTTTTTATACCTTTAGCTGGACCTGGTCTGGTCTGTTATCAAATCTCACTTATTAAGAATTTTGTTCTCCAAGATAATCAGAGAGGGAAGGTCCTACTGGTTCAAACTGCAATGTGGTAAAAATGCCATTACTGACTGAATAGCTTGCAAGAAAGTGTCTCCAGAACTTATAACACACAGCTTTTGAAGGAATACAGTTCTTGCTTGGGAAAACAGGCTTATGGCCTAGTGTTATTAACTCCTCCTGGATCAATGAACAAAAATGGCAAATATCAGGTCATGCTGCTTAATATGCCACAAGTTTCAGGTATTTATGTGGCAAGCCTTGTACTTTCACACCTTCTAAACATGTGGCATATGTGGTTGATGACACTTCCCATGCCCCCCACCTGTGGGGTTTCAGGTCTTATACACTTATGCTGGTAGTGACAGCACAATGGTTTTCATCCTTTATCTCCCAAATAATTAATTTAACCTCCCACTCCCAATCAGGTGTTGAAACCTTGAGCTAGAACCATTTTTATTGTTGAAACAAAGCCTGCTCAGACTGTAATCTCATTTCCAGTACCAGCCCACCTTCAAATTCTGTCCTAACTTGTACAAAACCCAGTCATTGTTTGCAAGGATAAGAAGTTAAGGACAAAACTTTGCAACAAATCCCTTCCCCAGCTATCATTTTACATTGTTCAAGTGGCTAATGTAACCATGACTGGGATAGGTCAAAAGGCCAGATTCCTGCCTCTCCCCCCACCCCCATTCCTTGTAGATAGACACTTATGAGATGACTTGAGTGGTGTGGAAATCATAGAGAAGTTCGAACAATTATGCAAGATCAGTATGCCAAAACAATATACACCATATAGGATGATTACATGATTTTGGTGCCCTGAACCTGGATTGTGTGTGCAATTGATTTACACTGGGGTGGTGTTTAATTTCTGACATAGTTTTGCTTGCAAACAATATTTTGGGAATGGTATTTTTCAATTACCTTAACATTAAATTTGGTTAAAACAGCATCTTTCTATGCACTGAAAATGGTTGTAACTGTGCATCTACTCACACCCTCAGACTCAAGTCCTGCTTAAGTTGTGTGTGCTGTGAAACTGCTGCTGGGATGGCAATGCTGAGCCAAGATGCTTGGTGTAAGGTCACTTTTTCGCATTCAGATATACAAATATATATATATATATATATATATATATATATATATATATATATATATATATATATATACATACAAGAAGTACCAGACTTGTGTTTCACTAAAATCTTTTGGGTTGGGTAAGGCATGGCTCACAGATTTAGGGAAGCAATTGAGCAGTCAGTGTGTACTTTCCTACCTAATGTTAGAAAAAATCATTGTACACCATTCGTCATGTTTAAGGCAGGACATATTGTAAATAATCTCAAAACAGGTAGAATCATGCTCCTACCTTCAAATTTCAATAACTTCGATGGAGGGCTCCCGAGCACCTGGACTCCCCAGCGCCGTTTCTGCGTTGCCGTTGTGTAAATACAATATTTCTGCTTACCAAGAACTCTACAAAATGTACGGGACCAAGGTAAACCATTCGTCGTGTTTAAGGCAGGCCATATCGTAAATAATCACAAAACAGGTAGATTCATGATCTTACCTTCAATTTTTCATAATTACAATGGCGAGCTCCTGAGCGCCGCACACACACAGCACCCGCGACACCGGTGCCATTACTGCGCGGGTCACAACATTACTGCGCATCAAGCAGCATCAAGAACCATAAAAATGTACCAGGCGAAGGTAACAAGAATCCATGATATTTGATCCTTGACGCCAACGGGACCATGGGTTGCAGGGGGATTGGGTGGGGAATGTAAAGCAAAATGAGAACATGGCAGCTAAATAAAACCTCACTATATGGCACCTATATATGGCATGGAACATGGATGCCAGTGGGATGCTGGGTTGAAGGGGATATGGGGTGGGGAGGTTAGGTTAGGTTAGGTTAGGTTAGGTTAGGTTAGGTTAGGTTAGTTAGGTTAGGTTAGGTTAGGTTAGGTTAAGTTAGGTTAGGTTAGGGTAGGTTAGCTTAGCTTAGCTAAGCTTAGGTTCTGGTCTATTCTCAGGTTAGGTTAGGTTAGGTTAGGTTAGGTTAGGTTAGGTTAGGTTAGGTTACATTAGGTTAGTTTAGGTTAGGTCAGGTTAGGTTAGCTTAGCTTAGCTTAGCTTAGGTTCTGGTCTATTCTCAGTTAGGTTAGATTAGATTAGGTTAGGTTAGGTTAGGTTAGGTCAGGTTAGGTTAGGTTAGTTAGGTTAGGTTAGGTTAAGTTAGGTTAGGTTTGGGTAGGTTAGCTTAGCTTAGCTAAGCTTAGGTTCTGGTCTATTCTCAGGTTAGGTTAGGTTAGGTTAGGTTAGGTTAGGTTAAGTTAGGTTAGGTTAGGTTAGGTTAGGTTAGTTTAGGTTAGGTCAGGTTAGCTTAGCTTAGCTTAGCTTAGGTTCTGGTCTATTCTCAGTTAGGTTAGATTAGGTTAGGTTAGGTTAGGTTAGGTTAGGTTAGGTTAGGTTAGGTTAGGCTAGTTCAGGATATGTTCTGGACTATTCTGGCCTGTGTGTTTCATAAATGTACCTAACCTTGATAAGGAACAATTTTGGTTGCTTTATTATTGTTACCTTGGTACAGTACATCTTTTATGGCTCTTGATAAGCAGAAATAGTGTGCTTTCGCAACAACACAGAAACGGCGCTTGGGAGTCGAGGCGGTGCGGTGCGGTGTGTGCGGCGCTTGGGAGCTTGCTATCGTATTTATTAAAATTCGAGGGTAGGAGCATGATTCTGTGTTTTAAAATTAGTTATCATATGTTCTGCCTTAAACACGACAAATGGTTTACCTTGGTCCCATATACCATTTTCATTTGAGCCATACTGAGTCATATCTCATTTGACTCACTGACACAACACTGCAATGGTCAACTGATGGTTCAGCTCATGAAACTAAGTGGTATATGATTCACACCCTTAACTCAAGGCAACATTTTTCTTAGCAAGCCAATTCAGCTCAAGACTGATCCCAATACGATTGACTGATGAATCAATTCATGATTTAGCCTGATTCGAACACAAGTGCACTAAGTGCTCACCCTTTTCAACCTATAGAAATCAAGACAGGCGAAGTCTAAGGAGAAATCAGATCGCACAGGCGTTCACTTTCCAGCGGTATCATCTATAATTTAAGCGTTTACATGCGTACCTGCCTAGTGAAGGCGCGTTCAGTCGAGGGAAAATTATTCAACGAATAATTATCTCTCCGATAATCATCCGCGGATACCCTCCACTTCTGCCCAGCCGGTACAGAACTCGCCCCCGAGGTTCTTGTTATCGCGCCCTGCCGAGTTTAGTCTCCCGTGCGCCACACACAGCAACAGGCCAAGGCAGTGTCTAAAAAACCGGCATATGACGCAGCGCAGACACCCAAGTTTTCCGAAACGACTCGTCTGATCGCCTTGAGACCTTCACCAATCGATTCCGTACGATGAGATGAGTCATGAGGAGGCAACATTGAAACCTGACCTGAGGTCAAACACCTCGAAAACACGAAGGGAAAATTTTGTATACAAATGCAGACAACTCAGATCTCCGAGCTTACTAGACCGATCACTGTGAAACCTTCACCATCGGATGCCCCATACCTGATTCCCTTTCATAGTTTCAAATCTGGTGACCCTAGGTCAGGCCAAAAGGCTTCAATTTTTACAGAGTCATAAGTTCTTGATTGCAGACAATGCATAGCTTAGAACCTTCCGAACTGATCACTGCCAAACCTGCACCATTGGATGCTCAATACCTGATTTCCTCCTGAACTTCCAGCTTTGGTGACCCATGGTCAGGTCTAAAGTCGTCAAATTTCACAAATTCTAAAATTCTTGCTTACAGACAACATATAGCTCAAAGCCTACTGAACCGATCATTGCCAAACCTTCACCACTGGATGCCCCATATCTGATTCCTATTGGCAGCTCCGAATTTGGTGACCCTAGGTCAGGCCAAAACTAGTTCAAAACTTAACCTCTTAAGGCCGGCCAAGCCAAGCTGTACTTTTTCTTGGGCACAAACGTAAAGGAAAGGACGTGATTATAAGTGGCACCATACTTGCAGCTTAAACAGAAAACTAAGGTAGATGGCGAACTGAATGGTAAGGTTTGGCAGCTATCGGCGTGGTAGATTCTGAGCTATAAGTAGTCTGCAAACAAGAGCCTTAGACTTTGTAAAATTTGACAACTTTTGAACTGACCTAGGGACACCAAATCCAGAACTTAAGAGGGATTCAGGTATGGGGCATCCAATGGTGAAGGTTTCCCAGTGATCGGTCTAGTAGGCTCTGAGATCTGAGTTGTCTGCATCTGCATGTAAAGTTTCCCTTGGCGTTTTCGAGGTGCTTGACATTAGGTCAGGTCTCGATGTTGCCTCCCCATGACTCACCGCATTGTACGGAATCGATTGGTGAAGATTTCAAGGCGACCGGACGAGCCGTTTCGGAAAAATTGCGCGTCTGCGTCATATGCCGGTTTTTTAGACCCTTCTCACAGCCAGCGATCATAGCTATGCATAGTGAAAACGGATTCTCCGCCTTGACCATGCTCGGAAAATTCTCCGGGATTCTCTCTCCCTCCCTCTCCCTCGTGTCAGCAGCGTCATCCGCCACTCCGATAAATTTTCCAATATTCCGGATAGTTGTCTGTGATTATTTGCCGCTCGAACGCGCGCGCTTTAACACGTGCTCGGGTGGGGGTCAAATTGGCCCTCCGCAGATTTTTCCGAAATGGTTTCCGAACGGCGCGGCTATATCGCGCCAAATTTGGCGTAGTTGTAGACAATTGAATAGCGCATCGTATGAGATCAGAAATGGAGATGTGCCTTGCAGGGCTGCTGACCTACGACAGGTCAAAGTCAGGCCATGGTTTCATCGAAGGCTATCTAAGGAATCGTCCAATCTGATCTAAAAACGGAGTGTTAGACGAAGCCATACATCTCTGAGATACTTTCTTAGGCAATACAACAATTGAATGAACAAATTACATTGACCAAAGGTCTGGTATGTAGGTCCGACCAAGGTCAAAACCAACCTGTTTTATTACTCTAGCGCTTGCTGTATGGGGTAGTTCCTGGTTCTCATTTCGAATTCGTTAATAACAGGAACCGCCTTATGCACCTTCCATGGAATCCTTAAAGGTCAGAATAAGTCACTGGCCCGGAATGACCCAGGTCAGCATTTTGTTCCTAGGAGCATACTGCCTAGCGTAATCCTTGTGGCTTATCCAAATACAAAACTCGAAGCGGTCTTGTATGATTTGGGTCACCATGGCCTTCAAAAGGTCAAAAGGGTCATTGACCTTAAATGAGCATTTGGCCTTTTGCTTAGAACAGTTATCTAGGTTCTGGGGCCCTTCAGAGACCAGACTTGAATTTGATTTTTGTTGACCTTATTTGACCTGAAGGTCATGACCTAGAAGCATCAAACTTTGACCTAGGTGATTTCACGTACAGGCCAATGCACCCTCTGAATTTGGTGTCTCTAGCTCTCTTAGTTCCTGAGATCTCAGGGGGTCAAATTGACCCCTACCCGAGCGAATGGTATCCAACCGGCCAACCGGGCGCGTGTAAATAATCTTACTATGCGTATACGCGCGCCCAGTGGGTGGCACTGATGATTCCAGTTTCTTCTGATTGTCACGGCTTCTACTTACCCAAGGCTTCTAGACCTATTACCCCATATACTATCCTTCAACGTGTTATTAGGTAGCTTTGCTATCGTCCGGTCACCAAAAATGAAATAAAAACGGCCAAAATAGACACCACTTTAGTCACCAAATATAAGAAAAATGTCAAGAGGGAATAATTCCCACCAGACTGGCAAACTTTCCACAAAAGGTGAAACAAAACACAAAGATATAGAAAAATATTAATGAATTGCATCAGAATCTAGTGTAATCAGCCCACCAGAAAAACGGTCGATATTTTAAGCCAAACTGACGTCAACTTGCTAATGTTCCTGGGACGCAGACGCCATTATTCATATTGGAGTTGCGTGCTGAGAACAAGTCGCTGATTAGCATTGAGTTTTGTACATACCTACACATCCAGGGACGTAGCCAGCTGGTGGGGGTAGGGGAGGAGCACAGGGGACATATCCTACCGGAAGGCTTTGAGGGACTTTCGGGACCTACGGCGCGACTATTAAGGGCTCAATTGGAGTGCCCGAAGGACTGGCCAGGGGACGACCCCAGTGCGAAGGCCTCTAAAAGGTCAGCCAAAGGGACTCGTCTGTCAACTGTCGGGGGCCCCTGGGACTACAAAGGCGTTTATGTAGGTGCGAGACCACCAGCGCTGAGCAGTTGGCTCTGAGTCGCTTGAACCCGGGGGTCCCATTTACGAAGGTGGGAAGGCCAGTGTCCATAATTGTTACTGAAGTCCTCTTACGTTGGCCGGAGCCTCTGTAACAAGCTGGCTCCCTGTATCCAGGCACAGAGTGCTTTACAGGGGAGCATGGGTCGGCAAGGGGCCCTTAATCGTTCAGAGAAATCAGACAATAGAAGAGTCTGGCCACTCACGAATTTTAGCACCGGACAGAGCTCTTCAGGGCCCCTATACTTAGTTCATTTTGATGATTGTTCATGCCTTTCCACCCGTAATCCGGGGTTTTAGCCCTATTGTCTGGTCGGTTTATCATACCAGATTTTAATTGGCACCAATGGCGACAACCCAGCCCTCTGATGATCAACTGGATTACCACCTCAATTGGTGATCAGGGTGTGTATTTTGGTACTGGAAGTGACCATTCTGGTCAAGCATGCTACTGGCCGCGTTCGATCCGCCGTCAGCACGTTTGTCGGCACCACTCACGACCGAGCCACCCAAAATTCTCCCGCAGGTCCGATCCGTGGTGAAACCTGCGACGGCCGAAAATCATTCTTGCAGCAACGTTAAGATTGTGTAAGCCCTGTCCAACTTATTTTTTGATCCATTACCGTATACCGAAAAACAGAAGCCGACGCGGGGGAGAACCAGGGCAGTGACTAAGATGGTGCTGACAGCCTGCGGAATGCTGTGACGCACATGTGACAGGCCGGCCAGAATGCCTTCACAACAGTGACTCAGCAGTGGCACGTGGGCACCCCATGACATGATCTGCTCGAAGGTGACACCCAGGTTCCTCGCTTCCTCGCATGGCTCTAGCGTGGCACCGAAAAAGCCGACCAAAATATTTGAGTTACGTAGATTCTGCCAAGATCCGAAGGCGATCAGTTGTGTTTTGTTTGCGCTGACTTTAAGAGAATTTGCGCGGGAACTATCGAACCAGTGATTCAAGGAAGCTTTCCAGGCGGGAGAAGAGGTCCTGGAAGTCGTCCTTCCTGGCGCTCACCGAGACCTAGGTGTCGTCAGCATACTGAGAGGCTTCGGCGCCAGCTGCAAATAATGCTAGGTCGTTGGAGAAAATGGTGCGGAGAAGTGGTCTGAGAGCCGACCCTGAAAGACACCCATATGGTTGGGGACGCAGCAAAGGTCATCCTGCGTCCCGTCATCCAACGCGCAACGTCACACTGGGCGTGCGCCGGAGACGGGCCGAGAACCAGGAGGTCTCAACGCCGCGAAGTTTCAATTTACGAATTATTAAGTCGTGGCTAATGGCGTCAAGTGCTTTACTGATATCAGTTCAGCACAATAATGAAACCTTCGTTCTATCGGTGGCGGCGAGTAGTCGGTTGGAGACGGAGACCAGCACGGTTTCCGTCGAGTGACGAGAACGGAAACCGCGCTGGGAGGCTGCCAGTCCAGTGACTTCGTCAGAGTTGGATCTACAGCATCATTGTGTCTTTAGAATGTGATGCCCCTTGAGGAAAAAGGTTTGGAGCCCATTGTGGCGCCATAAGACTTCGGTGTCTCTCGAAAATGAAGCTTTGGGGCCACTTGTAACGCCTACCCAGATTTGGTGCTCCTGAAAACAAAGCTTAACTTGACCGTTCATGAGGATTTTCGTGCCCCTTCACCATGACATTGAGGTGCCAATGGTGTGGCGGTTAATGCGCCTGCGTTAACCACTGCGCGTTTGGGGACCGGGAGGCATGGGCTTTGATTCCCTGCGGTGCCCACCTTTGCTGGCAGGGTCAGCAGCAGGTGACTCCACATAGCCTAAGCAGTGCAGTGCGTCGTACATCCCCAACGACGACGACTGTGATATTTTGGTGCCCCCGTCATGATCCGTCACTGACGGCGGACGACCCTTCGGCCCCAGGCCCCAAACCACCCCTTCCACTATGAATTCAACACTAAAGACGGACGGCCCTTCGGGCCAAGGATAGGCC